GTTAAGACAGTATGTTTTCCAGCATACACGTTTTGGCTAAAGTTCATTCAGTTTTAGTCTCACCTCTATCAATGTTTGCCTTGCTCTGGATTTTAGTTGACCATAGTGCAGTAGAGAATCTAGATTTGTTGATTGTACAATAACTAGCTAACTATTAGCCGTCAAAAGATTCTCCAACCTGAGCTGCAGATCTCTGCAGCTTCTCCAGAGTCAGCATTGGCTTCTCAGCAGCTTCCCTGAATAATACATTGGTAGGTTTGCAGTTGCAGTTTCACTGCAAAATGCTGAAATATTAGTTATGATCCTACCCTTGTTTAATCTTCTGAATAGCTACGTTCCTTGCCTTCATGATGCTGTTTCACCTGTACTGTTTTCTAACAACCCCTTCAGGCCTCCACAGATCAAATGGATTTAACCCAAGTAGGGCTGCAACTGACAATTATTTAGAAATTGATTAATCTGTAGATTATTTTTTTTCGATTAATTGATTAATAATTGGATAGCAAAAGGTTCCTTCAATAAAACTTTTTACAAAATGTATTTAGGTAAAACTAAAACAATTCCCCTTGAGGAGTTCTGAATAGAGAATATACTTTTTTTTATCTTAAATGCAAAGTTTTTTATATTTTTGTATATTTACTGCTCTAAGTTGGTTGTTGTGTCACCTACAGGCATATTTTGCAGACTCTAAGCTCCAGTTAACAATAAATCGATTTCTAAATTAGTTGATGATTATTTCAATAATCGATTAATCATGATTAATCCAATTAATTGTTTCAGCCGTAATTTCAAGAATAAAGCACAAGCAGACGGACTCTGCTTATTGATTTTTAAGTCTTGGATAATAACATTTTTTTCTTTTTGCTAAATACTATTTAATTCAATTCAGTTTATTTCTATAGCGCCAATTCACAACACATGTCATCTCAAGTCACTTTACAGTTCACCAGATCATACAGTCAAATTGATTCAAAGTTTTCTATCTAAGAAAAACCAGGTGATTGCATCAACTCATGATTCAAAGGCAATTCCTCACACTAAGCATGCTTGTAGCGACAGTGGAGAGGAAAACACCCCACTTTAATAGGAAGAACCTCCAGCAGAACCAGGCTCAGTGTGAGCGGCCATCTGCCGAGGCTGACTGGGGTTACAGGAGACAGAAGCAAAGATAGAAAAAGCAGCTGTAAAAGGCGGCCCTGTCCAGGAAACACAGAGCCAGGCAGACGAGCTCCGAGCCAGCTCCCATGTCAGAGGATGAAGAGAGTACATCCAGCCAGTCATAGTCAAAGAAACAGGACTACACTGAAAAACAGGCCTAAAATGATAACATGGTGAATTGTATTTTTCTTGCTTTAACATTAGAAGATTCCATACATTTTCAGGTGCCTGAGGACGCAACATCCATATGCTAAAAAGGTTTTATACAGGTATAAACACTATGAGAATATCCAGACATTATGTGCCAGAGAGGAATGTGTTTTATAGCACAGTATGCATATTAAGCCAAAAAAAACAGTACCAAACCTTTGAAGAGGTCAACCGAAACTGTTTACAGAGAGAAAAAAGGAAGATAAATAATTAAATAAGATACAAAGATCTTACTATTTTAAGATAAAAATTAATGTGAATTGTTTATTTTTATGTTTCTGTTTTTCATCATAAAACAATGATTGTAAGATTTAGATGAATGACAGGGAGAATTTACAGCTACACTATGATAGTGTGTTATGCTGCAGAAGGGGACTGATGCACTTTACAGAACAGAAATCGTTATAAGTGAAGAACACTCCAAGAAAACATTACAACAAATTTCCTTCCAATTAGTCAATTAAGTCAGTGTTTTGGAGTGGGCATCACCAAAAGCCTCAGTCTCAGTCCCATAAACCAAAATGTAGGCAAAGATTAAATGTGTTATGCTTTTGACCCATGTAATAAAGTTGAAATGCTGCAAAACACTTTGGAAATATATGAAAAATTATAAGTACAACAGCAACTGTCTTCTATTCTGTCAATGCTTATGTAAAAGAAACTAAAAGTATATTTAAATCAACGTCACAGAATAAGGAAAATGTTTCATAAACTTCTGTATTTATAGTCTACTTTGTGTTGGTCTATCAGTAAAATTCTAATATAATGAAACTAGAGTTGGGGTTCTAATATGAAATATGCAAAACTTCAAATGTTTTGAATAATTTATTATTTTGGCTTTTTGCATTGAGGAAAGTAAAAGTACTGATCTAGCAGAAGTCAAATAAATTGTTTAAATATACAGCAGCAGCTCTTGATCGCATGGAGCAGATTGCATCAGTGATTAATGTCTGTATTAACTGCATTAATGTTTTCAAAGTTAAATGATCAATGCTTTAATAAGAAAGCCCAGGATAATTGCCATTCTTAACGAGAAGGCTATATGTGCATCTAAATTACTGTTAATAACAGTTCATCAATTCCTGAAGCCAATGACAGGAAAAATGTTGCTCCTTAAGACAAAACCCATTTGCTCATCAGGGCATCAGCAGAATGATTTCAAAGATTTGATTACATAAAATCTCATTTCTAACCTCTTGCTGTGTTTTTTTTTTTTTTGTGTGTGCCAGTGTTGCCTGACAGCCCCAACTTCCCCTACAGACGGTATGACCGCCTCCCTCCCATCAGCCAATTCTCCATTGAGAGCGACTCGGACCTGTCAGAGACGGCCGAGCTCATAGAGGAGTATGAGGTGTTCGACCCTTCCAGGCCGCGACCCAAAGTCATCCTCGTCATTGGTAAAGGAGCATTGCAAAACACCAACATTGGAAGTATACTTTTAGTCTGAGGGATTCATTGGGAGTTGTTGTTTTCTGTTAGATAAGAAGCAAATATTATAACAGTGCTGGTTTAATTTGTATTAAGGATATAAAACTGAATAGTGCTTTTCATTTGCTTTGCTGATCTAAAACTATGTGGTGTGGATACGAATCTATGACCTGGGATGGAGTGTGTGTCTGTTTCCTGGTATTCAAACATAACTCCGCCTCTCTCTGTTCATATCATCAGGGTAGATCTTGCTGTATGTCCCTCAGTGTGTTTGACACTCCTAATCTGATTTCCTTGGCGTGCCTGCTTCAGGCTGTCAAATAATCTCATTTATCATGATAATCACACATGCCTTTTCCTCAGCAAGAGTAGAAATCATAGTTTATCTCAAACATAACTTCAAGAGAGTTTTTATAAGTAAGTAAGAGAAATACTACTGTCGTTTCTTAGAGATTTTTTAAAGTGGCCTTTGCTTTTATTGGGCTCTTTACACTCTTCATGGAGTGGCTGATAGGTGTTTGTCCTTGCAGCACAAAGGCAGTCTTCACCCTCCTTTTTGTTAGCTCACTGCACCCTGGTTTTGAACAGAAAAGTAGCACGACAGTAACAGTCACCTCCGCAAATGATCATGCTGAATGTTTTCTCTGACAGGTTTGCATAGAGATGTTAGCTGTTTGGAGGATGTTTAGACGTGACAGAGTCAGGAAGTACAAAATGCTTTCCCCAAAAAAACCATCTCTATCTTTTTTATCATTACCCAAGGAAAACAATAAATAGCCTCAAACTCTATCCTATGGCATGGAGGCAGATCTGTTGTCATTCCTGTTTCCAAAATCAGTGGTGCTAACATGAATACTTTAAAAGCTACTATCCTTCAGCTTTTGCATGCATCACTTTCTAAACACACCTCATTTGAACAGCTGAATTTCCTCATCAGCATTCAGTTCTGCAGAGGGTTGGTACTGAGCCACTGACATGGTGCAGGGGCCTAGGAAGGATGCATTTAATAGTTGCAGTATAGTAGTCCTTTTAGGACTAGACTTGGGTTCCCCTAGTCTAGATCACCAAGAGTCTTAAGAGTTTACTTTTAAGTTTTGTTCTGTTCAATTGAGTAGTTGATATGTTTATGGAGACTGAGATGGCCTGAAGGTTACCTTGTGTGTAGTAAACTGATTCTTCTTTGGGCCATTATATTACTAAAATACCATATGATAGCTTTAGAGATATTCTGTATATCTTTATTCAAAATATCTTGGCAATTAAAGGCTTCCGCTAATAAATATCAGCTCAGATCTTGACTAATTAGCTGAATCAGATATTGTTGATTTGATATCAGGTATAGATAATGCAGTTTACTGTACTTTACATGGAAAAGTTTATTTTTTTTTTTAATTTACCTTTTTTTTTAACCATTGTTTTTGTCAATGCTAAAGCCTTCACTCACATGGCAAGATATATGGTTCATTCATTCATCAGTTAAATCAGAAAGGTATCGGATTGTGGCCGATACCCTCAGCCAATGTCTTTGTTTCAGATTGGATCAGAAAAAAACTGGACCGGTGCATCTTTAACTTCAATTAAATTTGGGTTTCAATATTGCTGTGTTTTAGGATCGGTTGTTGTTCAAAAGTGCAGCCTCCTGTTGTCATGCGGCTGCCTTCAACATAGGCTGCCCCACTGCTAGCCTAGCAGACAAACAAAACGAACGGCTCGGTCATTTCTGCATTATTGCCACGTGACTTTGATGCTATATTTAGCACCTTTTCAGACCCCTCTAGCAACTTTTTTCAAGAAAGCAACTAGTAACTTTTCCCTGTGTTGGAGACATTGGTGAATACACATGGTAGGACTGATCGCTCAGTTAAATGTTTTCAGTTAATGAGCGAGCCCTTCAGCTGCAGCAGCTGTCTTCATTCAGAAAGCAAAGTGACCCGCCTCTATTTTGCAATCGAACATGAGCCACACATGCGCAAAGCTTGCAGTTAAGCCCCACGGATTAAAAATGAAAAAAATATATGTAATATTTAGTACTGTTGTTCATTTAAAACTGTTGCAGTAAAGTGGAATAGCATGTGGGCGTGGTTTCAATGTGGGGCCCCAGTGTCTCAGAGCAGACTTTAAGGGTCTGGTGTGGCCCAGCCAGAGACCTATTTAGAATCTGATGGATAGTCTCTCAAGGGAGCCAATAACTAGGGTTATTTGGAAGAGACTTCATCATAAATTGATTTCTGCGTAGATATTTGACTGGTAATGAGTGAGAATGGTGTAAGTCATTTTCAAGTGTTTTTTTTAATATAAATTGTGAACAACTCATTTTTTAAATGTGTTATACTAATCTTAATACATATTTCTGAAAACAGTTTTGTTAGTTTAGTTAGAATTTATTGTCCTCTTAATTACCATTTCACTTTCAGAGATCCTTTTCATATTTCCTGTCAAAAACAAACTTTTTATTTAAAATAAAAATTATTTTCAATCTAAATGTGTCAAGGGTATGTATACATTATAATACAAACTTGTTCTTTAAAGGTTTTTATGCTACTTGATGACTTTATGAATGAGTATTAGAGCCTCATGAAGTCATTTTTGTGTTATGTTGAGGATTTAATGCCTTGAAGCTTAAAGGCAGTTTTTAGTACAGCTGTCTAAGCTGCAAATCGTCCCCAAGGTTCATGCTGCAATGCCGTTATTAAGTTTAATTAATGAACATATTTCTAAGGGGGGCGACTTGCTGTTGCTGAACTCGTCTCTTAGGGAAGGTGTTGAAGACAAACATGCTTTGAACCTGTTTTCTCTCAGGGTCTCATGGTTTACTCTCATTTTAGACTTTATTAAAATTCTACATTTGATTTTTTCCCATTAAGTTGTTGTCCTTCTTGTGGGTTTCATAATTTTCTTTTTTGTTTCCATAAATATAATGTGTTTTATGTAAAAAAAAAAAAAAAAAAAAAAAAAAGATGTCCTCTGGGTTTCTAGAGGTTGAGGTTTATTTTTCCCTCTCAGGATGTCTTTTCCCAGGCTTACACTCTCTGGAAATATGTAGACTTTTTATATTGGATTTCCTGTTCTGCGGAACAGTTATTTTTTTCTGCGATCAAACCATTAGTTTTAGTTTTCATTTATCCCATTTCTGTTTATTTTGCAATTTTTGCTGTTAAGTGCTACCACTTATGTTTTTAGAATATGTGTTAAAAGCTACAAGACTAGCAAATACAACAAAAAAAGTTTCTAAAGCAAATGTGTTTTCTGTATTAAAGTTGATTGGAGGGGGCAGTAAAAATGGGATAAATCTACATGTTTAAATCCATGATTCTTATAGTTAACATTCTAAGGTGATTTAGATAATAGAGGTCTGACTTCATTAAAGTCCTGCAGCCGTGTGTGCATTAAGTGATTTATGTTTGAGGAGAACAATTAGCAGATAGAGAGGAGGGTTTCTGTTGGCATGGATAAACAGAAAAACTCAACCTAAATACGTGCTTAAAGGTATAGTGGAGGGTGTTGTTTTTCCGGATGGATCATCTAAATAAGTGGTCCTCCTAACTGTGAATCATTCTGGTGATATGTTTACGAAAGGCCGTCCTACATGCTTGACCCGTAAAGCCCCTGTCACACCTTGACGATTTAGCCAGCTTATGCCTGACGTCCCAGAATCTTCTAAAAAGTATTCAGAATAAGTCCAGAGCGTATGTCCAACGACAGCCTCACTTATGCATATTGCGCGATAATGCCCATGAGATGTCACAGGCCAGTGTCCTTAGGGGGCAGCAATGCGGCAGAGGTTTCCGTCCTGCATAAAAAAATGTCTTTGATTGCGGTATTAACCTAGCTGATGTTTACCGCCCGCCAAAAAAAAATAATAAATGAAAAAGAAAGAAAGAGGGTTTGCAGTCGCAGCAGATTCAGCGTCATGTCTACTAGGAAGTTTGTCGGTGGTGGGCGTGAATGCAGGGAGGATCCATTACACTCACCTTCTCACTCACCCTATGATGGGGATGAAGTCTGCAGGACAACTGACGGTTTCCTCCTATGAACCACCTTTTATACCAAAACGCTGCCAATATGCCATTATATGGTAGCTGCACTTTGGAAACATGTTCGGCGGTCATCTGGAACTCGTCAAATAGGTTGATATGCGTTAGAGACAAGTTCTTGATAAGTTACATATAAGTTATGCACAGGTTACTCATAGGTTTTGGATAAGCTAGGTACAACTACTTATGAATAACTTACACTTAACGTATGTCAATGATCACATAACTTACCTGTAACTTATGGCCCATGTATGAGCTTATGCTGGCATACGTCAGGATACGTCGACACACTTGCTGTATGTCGATGCTTGTCAGTGTGCCTCAAAGTGCTTATAACTTATACAAGACTGACCCATAACTTATCAAGCGTATGCCAGCGGCTTTGACAGGTATTTTCCTATGTAAGACATAGGTTATCGAAATTATTGAGGTGTGCCGGACTTTAGAGGGTTTTGTCTTTTTTCTGTTCATAGAGCTACAGTGAGCTACAGTTTCAGACATTCATTAAAGCTCACCTTTCTTTATGTAAAGAAAAGAAGGGCCACAGAAGAGGCAGATATATCCCGGAATGCTTTGTGCGGCGAGCTCTACTCGCAAAGCATTATGGGATTTGCTGTCACAGGGGCCCGCTGTCGCCATAGTCTGTCGCTACACGACAGCGGCCACTATTAAAAAAGAAGTAGCAAGCACTGCGTCTTAGAGGAGAAGTTAAGTGACCAACGGGGAGCAAAAAGAAGTGATCATCTGTCCGAACGGTAAGTTAACTGAGTTTGCTATAAAGTCCAATATATAGTCCACGCTCTGTATAGCGATTAAGGGATTTAGGGGTTAGGGCGGACATTAGGAGACGGTAAGCTTGGATAAGCTATGAGAACAGCAAATTTTAAACAGAGCGTGCACGAGGAGAAATTAGCTTGTGCATGCTCTCAGACCCGTTTAATAGGCGTTCCCTCTCGATAGCGGGTACAGGGTTGTGCATGTGCTTTTTAGGATATTTATACACTTTGTTAGAGACTCTAGCACTTATGCTAATTATATTTGCAAAGTGACACATTTTCTTAAATATTTTCGTTTCTGGTGGGTGTAAGATATGGAACTACAGTATAACGATTACAGTTAGTTTCCTCTTTTATATTTGTTGCCATAAATTTTTCTTAGCTTTAACCAGATGCTAACATCCTGGTTAGTTTTAGAACTTTAAATAAGCTTTGTTTCAAGTCTTTCTTCAACATTACATTGTGAAAACATAAGACTCTTGTCCTTAGACTTGCATTTTAGACATAATCGTTATTTAATGCACATATGTGCCACTACCGTCTACCTTTTTCCTGATGATGCTGTAGAATTAATAGTGTTTGCAACATTTTGTAAGAAAGGAGAAGAGTTTTCCAACTGTATGTTTTCAGGTTACTACTTTGCATCTCAGCTTTGTTTTGAAAAGAGCACGTAGGGATGTGTCCCTGCAAAGCTTGGGGGCTTTGCCTCTTCCTGCTTTGCATGCGATGGCATGACTGATGTTATTGTGCTTACTGTTGAACAAACAGAAGGATAAAACTTAACTTTTGTATTTAAAATGTTGCCAAATGGTGTACAATAAAACTAACAGTATGTAACTGAGTGAGTGTAAGTACCCACCTCTACCTGTCTCATCAGGGATCATTTTTCTCCTTCGACAGATTTTTTTTAAATTCCACTTTACTTATATTTAGTATTTATTTTTTTTAACCTTTGTTTGTTTTGTTGAATTTTTTTATTTTGTTTGTAGCACATAGGCTACCTATGTTAAGTGCTCTACAAATATAACTTACATTGTAATTAGTTTTTTTAAATTTAAATAACTTTTCAATTATTAATTAATTATTACCTCCATCTATTTGGCTGTGAACCTCATCTTTCTTTTACAGCCCCTCTCAAACTACAGTAAAACGTGCAATCTGCTCAAACTGGTCTTCAAATCTTAACATTTATGCAGCAATTGTTTTAGATCACCTGCTACATCTCCACTTATACCATGTACTGCAAAAGAATTGCACATGCAATTTTACTCATTCCAACAAAGTAAAAAAAAAAAAAAACACTGGACTTTGTTTTCCCAGTTTGAAGATGTTTCACTTTCCATCCAGGAAGATTTTTTCAATTCAAAATGTGGATAAGTGTTGTGTTCCAAGCTTTATAGAGTAGCCCAACAAAGCCTTGTTATGTCTTAGAAAACATGCAAATTGAACCGGAAGAACAGGTCCACCCTTTGGTTATAGTAACGCTAATGATTCCCCATAGATACAGTAGCATAGATATTCATTTAAGGTGACAGTGATGTAGGATCCTGGAGTTTGTCCTGTAAATGAGAGTTGCTGCTTCAAACCTCTAACTCCATCTGTGTCAGTTGCTGTGTCCTGAGTTTATTTATATAATTCATCTTCAGAGAGTTGCTATTCATCCAGTCTCAAGCTTCTTATGATACATGTAATGTGTGCAACATTTTTGGCTCTGTTTTTTTGTTTTTCAGAAACCTTAACCAAGTCATGACCTTGAAAAACAAGGTGATTTTTCATGCAAACTGCCATCTCAGGAAAATTTGTTTGGAATTGCTTTATGAAGAGAAAAAGTAAAGGCAAGGCAAGGCAAATTTATTTGTATAGCACAATTCAGTACAAAGACAATGTCAAGTGCTTTACATGATTAAAGTATAAGAAAATAAAACAGAATCAAAGCAAGTAGGGAAAAAAATGCTGAAACAAAAAACGTTAAAAACAGTTGGACTAAAGAAAATAAAAAATTTGAACTAAGGATGTTTCAGTTGAACTGTTTTACTAGAACAGTCGAAGGCAATCCTAAACAAATGTGTTTTTAGTCTTGATTTAAAGGAACTCAGGCTTTCCGCACTTTTATAGTTTTCTGGAAGTTTGTTCCAGATAAGTGGAGCATAGGAACTAAATGCTGCTTCTCCATGTTTAGTTCTGGTTCTCCAGTACTCCATGCAAAAAAATCACCTGAAGTATGTCACAAAGTAAAGGCACAAGTAAAAGTAAAAGTCTGAACAAGCTGGAAATGAAAGAATAAAGAAGCATTTGAGTTTTTATATGGCTTTCCTTTAATTTAGCTTTCTTCTGTGTGTTTCACACCAACATATTAATTAGGTACCGACTCCTTTAGGCTCTTTTTCTCAAAATATCAACCTCACATGCTTCTGAAAGGTAAACATTTAATATCTGAAGTTCTGCTTCATGTTGATAAGAAAAGACTGGCACCATTATTCAAATGATATTTGGTGAAAAGAGAAGATGTCTCACCAAATGTAGGGAATTCACGCTTACCTGTTTCTTTAGGCCATCCACCTCCACAGATACACATGGAACTAAGCGCATCCACACACACTCTTACACAGGCCTGATTTCTCTCACCCATACTCACTCACACACCCACACCCATAATGTTTCACACACATACGCACATATGACAACAAAGCTCCCCAAAACATCAACAGCTCTCCCTCTGTGCTTAGGTGGCCCTGGCAGTGGCAAAGGAACACAGAGCCTGAAAATCGCAGAGCGCTACGGCTTCCAGTACATGTCTGTGGGCGAACTGCTGAGGAAGAAGATGATCCATAACGCCACAAGCAACAGAAAGTGGAGCCTGATCGCCAAAATCATCACCAACGGAGAGCTGGCACCGCAGGTAACTGAGAAACTGAGAGGGAGACATGTTAGCGGGGGCGAGATGGACAAAATATTTGAGGAGGGATGAGTGGCATGTCCGCACACTCAGGTCAAGTTGTTATCACAGCAAGCATGCAATAAAGACCTAACTGGCAGAAGCTGCATCACAAGCATGCGGTAGAAGCAAGATGCTTATCTGTCTTATTAGCATCCATCTATCTAAGATAATTACTCCGCTTGGGAGAAAATGAGCACTGACCCCTCCTGTGCTTGTTTACGCTTCACTCTTTCAAACACAGTACCTAGAATAATTATTATACAATAACATTTCCCCTGTTCAGTTTCTGGTAATAACAGGATACAGCTCGAAGGATTTTGTGCAAGGCTGTAGCTTTTATTAAAAACTAACTCAAAGCGACATCTCAAATGTTGAAGAACAGAATGTTTTTCATTAAAACAGCTGCAGCTGAGATTAAGCCGTCATCTGTCCACCGCCATGCTTACCAAATGCTAGGCAAACCTTATGGGCTGCATAACAGAAACCTTTAACTTCTCATTGGTTTTAATTTGGCCCTTCAAAGAAAATATCTCAGTTCAGCTTTAAGCTGAAAATAAATACCAGAAACCTTTTATAGTTAATGATCATCATAGGCATTTGTTTAATTTGAGCGCAAAGCTGTCCATTTTTTCCCTCTGGAACTTTAAGTTTACCTTAGGTCCTAAAAATGTTAATTAAATCATATTAGAATCAACAGATTGTAATCAAAAGCAGTGTATACTTTCAAACTGAAAATATATATTTTTTTACTTTTATTACACAGACTTTATGTTTATAGATTAAAAAAAAGCCCCAATATAAGCTAATTTTATTTAGCTGTTGATGTTCGTTACGATAACTACATCACCTTATTAAATACAAAAGCAGAAAAAAACAACACTCAAATAGTTTACTTTTTAAGGGGAAAAAAGCTAAAAGCGTTCCATGCCTTTCTGGAAATATAACACCTTTCTGTCTAGTATTAAAAGGTGTTTGGCCATTAGAGCTTCGTAAAGCCGCAAAAGAGAAAGAAAATCTGTATCTACTTTCTACCCTGATCACCCAGACTGATACATCATATACTCAGTTTATCTGTAAACGTAAAGGAGCTGGTACAGCTCTATTTTAAAGGCTGGGCTAATAACACGTTTTTGGTTTTTTGGAGGGTTTTTTAGAAAAGCTCTAACAGCAGCCAGCTGTTGAAATTTTATGCTGTAAACACTTTTTTAGGCCATGATAAAGAACATTAATAAAACATAGCTCCATTGCAGCTGCAATCTTGACTGACTGCAGAAAAAAGTCGCTGTTGTATTAGGAGCGTGATTGGACCGGTCTGTTTTAGACCGGAGAGTATTAAGCCTTACCATGCCCTGTCTATGTCAGTCTGGGGTCCGCTACATGAAGCAGGTTTAACAAATTGAGATTAAAATCTGCAACACTAAACTGATCTAGCCTAAAATCATGAACTCTGAGTGTTCAGTTTGACAACGGCTGCTATGAATTAGTTCAATCAGTTTTAACTAAGTCCATTCAGAGGTAAGTGCGTACACAACAAGTATGAAAAGCCATTATGAGCGGAGCATCGATTGGATGAATCACCATGACAACAGGCAACAGGAAGTGCTTATTTCACCCCACTGGAACTAGTGATTATAATGAAGAAATGGAAAAAAATTAAATAAAAAAGAATAATGTGTTTCAAAGACAGAGAAACAGCGCTACAGCCACAAAGGATAGAAAGGTGGCGAAGGAGAAGATTGTTGCTCGAGTTAATGCGTAAGTTTATATGAAGTGGGCTATGGCAGGCCGGTTTTACATTTATTAAAAGCACTCCTTTCTGTTGTTCCATTTATAGATCACTTAACTATATATATTTTCTAAATTACATTTTTGTAGCATAAACTGAATTTTAGAAAGTAAAAAAAAGATTGTGTGCCTGCATCAATTTAACTTCACTAATGTAACCCTATAAAGTGCTTAAAACAAAACAATCCAACTCCTAGGAGAGGACCTCTAACCCCATCATCTACCCTGTCCTTCCTCAGCACCTCTACTGCACCATATTCTTATTCCCCTCTATTTATGCTATAGGATTTTATCATTTCCCCTCTGTTAGCAGAGCCTGATCAGTGGTTCTAAGTACCTTATAGGTTTAATAATAACTGCATTTTTATTACCCGATCTTTAGTTTGCTTTAGACATAAGCATCAGTTTAAACATATATATGAATTCCTCAGTAAATAGCAAAAAACATGTGGACTTTAGTTTATTATAGACTTAGTGTAAATAAGATGCAAAGACTCAAAACCATCCACGTGATAAGTCATTTTTTTTCTCTTATTCTATATGAGGCATTAAATATTCTGTACTAGATATTATATCTCAGAATGGCTGGGGTAATTTTGCATGTGTTTTATTTAGAGGATAGTTTATTTTTATGCCAGCACAGAACCTTTGATGCATTGCTGTTGCTTGAAGGTCGTAACAGTCACAAGTCTTGGTCCTCGTCATAGAGAGCCCATTTTAGCTCGATTACTCCCATGAATTATCCTCAGCAACTGTCACACTCGTCGTTCATCATCCTTTTTCTGGCATGTCTGAGACATCGCTTTGCCCTTGCAGCAGTTCAGTTCAGATGTCAGCTAAGGGGCGGATAAGACAAACAGCAAAGTAGGCCAATGAGAAAACATATCAGGAAGTGGCTGTTAGGCACCAAGTACATACAGTAAGTTTTAGTTTTGGTTATATATTTTTTTCAGCTCTCTTGATAATGACAGGGAATTTATCTGCTGTTACTTTAATTATTTCTGCAAGGTCCTCACTGACGTTCAAAAAAAATTCAAGTTCAAAAAAATTCAAAAAAAAGATTCAAGGAAAGCTACAGTCCCTTGATTTAAGAAAAACACCCCAACTTTTGCTACCTTAAAATTCTACATATTTAATGTAATAAACCAGCATAAGTTTTCATTTTGAATTGAGCAAGAAATTTGAGGTTTTATAAACTCTGAGAACTGTCCTGTACTTTCTGATTATGTAAGAATAAAGCAGAAGTGTAAGCCTACCAAGAAGAGGCTGTGCACCTTCTGACTCTATTAGAGAAGGCAATTTTGGAGGCGTTTCTGCTTCAAAACACCTCACCTTTTTATTCACTTATTAGTAGAGCTTGACTGCATGCTTGTAAAGCATTGGATGGAGGAGTTTAGGGTAAGGGATATAGTTTAAGTCTATTGTGCAAGAGACATACCAGAAAAAGGCATGTAGTTGCATTTAAAGGAGTTTTTACACTGCATGGACTCAGGGGAACTGAATGAGCTTAACAAATTCACATTTCTTGAGTACTTTGAAAATCACAAATCTTTTTTGGTTGTAACATATAGAGAGGTATGGCATTGTATAGGTTTCCTAACTTTTACAGAAGCTTAGTTTATGTCTGTCATATAAATTAATTTTTTATGGTGATTATTACTGTGTCAATGCTCAGTCGCTGCCAATGATCCAATAGGGCTGGAAGTGCTTATGAAGCACCACTTCACTCAGCAAAAATGCTGCTTGTCTCTCTGTTCTAAACCTCTTTGCTCTGAGAAATTTCTCTTCACAATTGAGTCATTTTTAAAAAAAAAATCTTTTTTTTTTCTATTCCGTTGTTCTTAAGATTAAGGAGCTGTGAGAATAACAATCATAGGGGGTTAAGGGATGACACAAAGCAGACGTTTATAGGTTACAATGAAAAGAGCAGTGGCTCTTTAGATTAGTTTGAATCTGTGAATGGTTGGCCCACATTTACTCTGCTCTTCTCATGTTAAAAAGAAACTAAACATTGGGCTATTTTTAGAGCAGAGCATTGCATCATGTATCTCTGCCGTACTGCAAATGACTTTCTGCCCAGAGAGATGCGTTCGTACATGTTGACCTCCAGCCATGAGGAAGTAAGTGATGCTAAAAGAAGTTGGCATTCTCTGGTTACAGGGAGTCTTCACTCTGTTGTAGTTACAAACTATTAAAGAAAGCATTGGAAAAAGATGAACGTATTATGCAGCAGGAGGTCAATGCTTTCAACAACTTCCTTTTCTGTGTTAACTCGTATGTTGTCACGTTTCTACTTCAATGTTTTTCATTGGGCCTGATGGACCAAAACAGAGTAGTGCATCCTGTACAGATGTTTCAAATAGGATTTTTTTTAAAAATGTGGCATTCTATTGACTATACTAAGAGTGGAATACAATATTAATATCTGACTTTAATATCGGCCCAGATTTTCATATCGGTGTATCTCCAATAAGTGTAATTCCACCATAGTATTTTCTAAGCTGTTGTCTGAAGGTCCTCAGACGTCAATCGAAGAGTATTATTTGACAGGTTAAGGATAACTTTGTGAAGATTGAAGCGAGATTAGGTTAACATTCCAAGCTGTAAACATATTAATACCTCATCTTAATAAAAAAGTATCCTTGAGATGACAAAAAGTGCCCAAAAAGCCTATAGTAAGCCATGGAGCTGCAGAGATCCTGGGTCGAGCTGGTAAAACATTTAGTTGTATACTAAAAAAATATGTTCTTTATGAAATAATGCAAAAGAAAGAATGTTAAGAAAGCCACAAGAAATATTGTTTGCACTTCCCCACAAGACTTTCAGGGTATAAGGTTTGTGGTCTTCGAGAAGAGGAAAAAAACAGCAACACTATTAGTACACTATCATCACAGTTAAACATGTTAGTATCCTGCTGTGAATATGATTTTCTTAGACAGAGAGAGGGATGCTGTTAGGATAATCATAAGATGGATGGAGGTAGATATTGAGCAAGAGATTCAAGAACGATAAACATACAGCCAGAGTTATGATGGGTTAGCTTAGATAGAAAGATATTCATGCATTAGAATTAACTTAGTTCACTAAATATAAAGCTGCAGGTGAACAATATTGTGAACAATATTTTGTAATAATTATAAGTTTGCTAAAAAAATAAAGGGAACACTCAAATAACACATCCCAGATCTGAATGAATGAAATTTTCCCATTGAATACTTCTGTACAAAGTTGAATGTGCAGACAACAAAATCACACAAAAATCATCAATGGAAATCAAATTTAGCAAACAAATTGGAAGAACAGGCTGATCCAACTTTGATGTAATGTCCTTAAAACGGGTCAAAATGAGGCTCAGTATTGTGTGTGGGCATGCCTGGGCATGCTTCTGATGAGGTAGAGGATGGTCTCCTGTGGGATCTCCTCCCAGACCTGGACTGAAGCATCCACCAACTCCTGGATAATCTGTGGTAAAACTCGAATTGTGGTGATTGAGACATGATGGCACAGATGTGCTCAATCGGATTCAGGTCTGGGGAACGGGTTGGCCAGTCCGTTGCTTCAATGCCTTCTGACACACTTCAGCCTCATTAAGTCTAGCATTGTCCTACTTTAGTAGGAACCCAGGGCCAACCGCACCAGCATATGGTCTAACAAGGGGTCTTAGGATCTCATCTCAGTACCTAATGGCAGTCAAGTTATTGTAAGGTCTCAGTTCAAATGAAAATATGGTCACCCTATGCTAATCTTGTTCCTATTTGCACAAAGACAGAGGTAGCGGTCCTGCTGCTGGGCTGTTGCCCCCTACTTGTGAAAATGTTAAGCTATTATCTAATCCCAGGACATTAATTTCCAAAACTATTGGCAACACAGGACAAAAATGTAATAATTAGAGTCCAGCATAAAATGTAACTAAGAATCTGTGGCAAACCTTAAACATCTATTTTCACAGTAACTAGAGATCCTTAGGCTAGACTGGTCTACAAATTTACACTGGGGAATTAAAGACAAATTAATATAATTTGCAGATTTGGACTTGTACAAACAAAATTAAAAGTTTGTTATACTACACAATGAGGCACTACTTTAGGTCATTTATAACACACAGGCAGAGTTAAATAGATTAAAGGTTTTGGATGACTTATGAAAACAGTTTAAAGGAATCTCAAGGGGGGTTGAACAATTTTTGCTTGGCAATATAAATAGTTTTCATTTAGGTTATTATGTGTTACTGAAGGAGAACCCACACTTTACTGTCTCTTCTTTGTGTTGATCAAAAACCTAATGATTTCCCTGAAGATATAGCGGAAATCCAGCTTACTACTTTATTTTTAACATAACAGCCTCGACATGGGGAGAAGGCAATCATGAATTATCCTACTTTTGTCATTTCCTTCAGGAAACCACAATAACTGAGATAAAACAGAAGATTATGAAGATCCCAGAGGCCAACGGTATCGTCATAGATGGCTTCCCTCGAGATGTTGGACAAGCTCTGTCCTTTGAAGACCAGGTGAGTCTCTGTTATTAGGCCTATTTGTCCTCGAACAATATTTTTGTCCTTGTGTCAGATGATATCCCCTGGTTTACATTTACTATCATTTGATGGGCTCATTCACCATTGCAGAGTTATCACCTCTGACCTACAAGAGCAGTAATAATGCCCTTTGACAGCATGACTTGTTAGGAGTGCTTGAAATTAAATTAGCCAGGATGCATTTGTAGAGTTACTGGTAAAGGCTCCAGTGAAAATGTTCAGAAATAACTAGAAAGTCATAATGGTAGCCATGTGCTGCAAGCCTGATAAAGTATGTAAATGAACCAGTTTCAGTCCAGCTTTCTGCCTCAGATGTTTGATCAAATCATCTGCTGCTCTGTGGGTTGTTTAACCCCACTGGTTATTTCATCTGTTTGATATCAGGAGCTGTGCAACATCATGGTGTCCATGTAGAGACATTTAGACATTTTGCTAAAACAATTGCAAAATGAGACATTTTTAAACACCTTTGCAGAAGGTGTTGCCCCCTATCTTGGGTCAGATCCCAACTCTGAGACATTTTCTGCATATCTGTCCCTTTCTCTCTCAAAAACAAGAAAAAAGAAAAAATGTGATTTGGTAAATAATTTTTCCCTGACACCACAGAAATAGATTTTCTGGTTGACTCTATAGAAAAATCAAAAAAGAATTTCAGAAATCTATATTTGATATAGATGCTATTATGCACAGCTATGAGATATTCGAGAATCATTCAAGTGCTTAAGTTTCTTAATCCTAGCCTGAATTTATTGTTCAGTCATGTTGAAAAATAAGGCGACATCCAAGTAGTTAATTTGATTCATTTGTTTGGGTTGTTCAGTCCATTGCTCTTTTTTTAAACAGGATTTCAGATTAGATTCAGCATGTTTCTTCTGTACAGACTGGAATTTCTTGTATTTATTAAGTCTGAAAAGTGCGTCAGGTCTCATAACAGCAGTGGCATTAGTTCACACTAGCCCCACTCATGATGCTTTATGTTACAACTGCTGCTTCTAACCAAGTCTTCTCCTCTCAACTCAAGCCATTAAATCATCAATTTCCCTATGTTGAACAGGTATGCGCAGAATAAGCTAAGATACTGTAGCTGTCACTGGCATTGATTCATATAGTCTTTTCAAGGAAAACTTACTCTTGATTGGGAAGTTACAGTAATAAATCAGCATCTACTACCCTAAAAATCTCAGTACATTAACATTTTATGGCTGTTCTTTTGTGGTGATATATAAATATATATCAGAAGTAGATAAAGCTGACTATTTAGGCCAACACTTCCTGTCTGAACCAACGGTTGATTAGTTAATTGTGTGAAACAAATAGGGAGATTGCTGTTAGATGGACTGGTGCTAATTAGCACATTCAAATTCACTTAGGGTGTTCAATTTACTTTTAAGTGACCTTCTGAGGGGTTAGTAGAGTCAGTTTATGGAAAAAACTAATTTAACAATTCAGTGATAAAGACTTCACTAAAGAAACAACTGAAAAAGATAGTAGTGACAGAAGTCTTTTTGGAAAATATTCATATTCTGACAATTAAGGTACCAAAGTATGCCAAATTAATATCCCCCAAAGCCTTGTACCTCTACCAACAGCATAACCTATTGATTCAAGGCCCGTTTTAACTACTTTATACTAAATTAAGGACTTACAATCTAAATATTACAGCTTGAGTTAAGACCAGTGAGAAAAAACAGTGTTGTTGCATCATTGTCTAGTACTGGTGAGCCGCTTGTAACTACAGAATCCTGTGTTTCGCTTAGAGGAATGGCCCCAGTGTGGTCTTTCAAGATTCCTTTGAATACATCTGTGATGGGAATCATTTAACCTCAATGGCATCAGGCCACATTTATATGTAGCCCTTAGTTTTAGTCCTTAAAATAAACTAACAGGAGAAAGACGGTTTGACTTACAGAGAGGGTGTCTGCTGAAAACACATAAAAAGACCTATTAAAGTTGGCTGCCAATGATTTTCAGCTAAACGTATATGATGTCAGCTCAGGAACGATGCAAAAAGCCTTTTTCATTTTCTGGCACTACTGTACATTACATACTTCTTCTGGGACACAAGATAGTTTTCAGGTATACAACTGAAAATAGAGATGCATGAAATAATGCTCCTATCTTCTATGAAATGCAAATACTAAACCCTGCATGGTGTCTGTCATGAATGTTAAAAAATAATATAAGGATGCATGCAGTCCTAAAAGCAAAGTAAAACCTATATCAGCACAAAACAAACATTTAAAGAGAAATAAAAATAGACAATGGTTGACCCCTATAGTTCAGGTAGTCAGTTATAAAACAAAATATTTTTTCTTTATAAATTTACAGCTTTCATTTATTCTGTTTTAGCACCTCGTGTGTGTAAATTAGCTGCCACTCTAAGAAGCAGTCAAGTATTAACTAATTTTTATATTTGAACTGATTATACAGTAGAGCTTCCCACTTAGTTTCAGATCTTTATTTAGCTTTTCTCTCTTACAACTTTGCCAGTTTTGTTCACAGTATTTTTAGCTGCAGATCCCCATCTCTTTTTTTATATTGTGTTATAATAAGTCGTCTTCAATGCACAGAGACCTGCTGAAACCATGAATTTGCATTGCTCTGCCGGATTCAGGATGGTTGAGCTTTGCGAGAGATTTTTTTTGTACTCTTATATCAAACTAAAACGTAACATTGAGAGTCTCCCTCCCTGCAGAGTGTATCAGGGTAGAGGATGTAACTATATTTATGGTATTTTGCCTCCATGTTTCCAAAACAAGATAATGAAACATAAGATTGAAGGTGCATGGAAATAAAAATTGTGCCATCTTCTTCCTCATCAATTTGATTTAATGCTTTTTTTTTAGGTGACACTTTGAATTTTTATAGCTCATTCTCATGCAGGCAGGTATTTACACTTAGACCCTTAAGGCCTACAGAGGTGTATTTTTTGTGCAGCGATTTTAGAGAATTTATTTGCATTACAAAGAATAGCAGAAAATCTTGACTATATTTTGCCACATTACTAAAATATGTTTTGTTATGTATTAATAGAAAAGGATGTGCAGTTACTGGCAGAATAAATGCATAATAATAATTTGCTTTTTGACCTGGTCTCCTTTAATTGTATTATCACTGGACAAGCTTAAAAAGGTTCTTAGATTTTGTAGAGGAGATTTAGCTGCATGGAGAGTGCATTTAGTAGCCTCTCTCTGGTGGTTAGAGGGACCAAACCAAACATAAAAATCATGAAATCTAACATTTTATTAAAGAGCAACTGCTCCCACTTCCCCCAAAAAACTGTAGAACACTTTTGTGAAAAAAATAAACGAAGCCCCCACCTAAAACCACCTTATTAAACTGAAACCAAATTGTTTTAATGATTATGCAATTAAAGGAAGGAATTGGTTTTCAGTTTTGTACTCTCTACTTGCCTTGACCTCTGAACAGACATAAGAGATACGAACTTATAAGGAAGCCAGATGGCAATTCTGCAATATACAATAAACAAAAATGATTGTTGAAATGTACTGATGCAGCTGTGTGAGGTGAAGAGAGTAGGATGTGAAAAATGGTAAACCTGGTTAGTTGAATAAAATGAAACTCTTAATTGGTTTTAAGCCCTGACTTTAATACTGATTGAAAGTGGTAAGGAAATTGTATTTCAGGAAATTGTAAAATTTTGCATTGTAAATGATATTTCCATAGTTTTCAATTTGTTCCTGAAATATTTCAACCTGTCCTGAAACTAAAACTCTAGAATAAAAAAGCAAAAATAAAAACTTAAAAAATGAATTCCATTTTCCTGTTAAATGTTATTTTACATTCGTTAGGATAAAAACAAATGTGTCTTTTATTTAAAAGCAGGCCTGGGTATTACTGGTTTGTTGAACTTAAAACAAATTGTGATCCATATACCAGTTTGGTTGAGAAAAGAGCAAACTCCTTTCTAGATTAAAAGAAGCTGTTGATGCAAATGATTTGAAATAAAACTTCATGCCTTCCAATTATTAAGGCCAACATGCAATGCCATTCTTCTTGTTTTTGTTCTACATAGGGCTAATTAAATGTTAGAGTTACAATTTAAACAGGTTTTTTCCCCCCTGGTCCTTGTCTCAGATAAGTTAACAAAAAAACTGATCAATAATTATCGATATCGACTGATATGAAGGGCATATATCGAGAAACATTTTTCAGCCAAACACAACAGCCCTAGTTCTACAATAATTTACAGATCACTTCATGATTACCACTAAGCACTTTGTTTCTTTAGAGTTATTGCACCTATTGGGGGCTGCATGGTGTATCGGTAGAGGGGTCCTCTCGTATTTAGAGGCTATAATCCTAGATGAAAACATTAATTGGCTATGGGGCCACTCATGCTAAAAAAAAAACGTATAGTTTATTCCTGATCAGAAAAGATTTAATAAACTTTGTTTTTTGTTGTAATCATGTTTCAACTTAACTTGAAGTTCCCTCATCTGTATGTCACTCAGCGCTAAAGAGTGAAAGCCATACACATAATTTGTGTGTGTTAGAGAAGCGATGCATGTCAAAGTTGCAAGATGGTAGCTATTGAGGACCGGGCCATGGAAAAATCAAGTTTTAATAGTACTTATAATATTTCAGTCACAATACATAAATGACTAAAAAAAAAGACCAGCACAAATTTACAGATCTGATTACAAACATCCAAATGAATAAAGGAGGCTTGGATGTCTTTGGTTTGTTGTCTAAGTGCTTTACCAGAATTTTAATACAGTGAAACAGAAACCTGTAGAGGGGGAAGAGGAACAGGAAAAGAGGAACCTTACAAGCATGTCTTGAGATTGTGGGAGATAGATGGAGTATGCAGACATAGCTCATACGTGCAAAGAAAAACATAAAAACTCCATGCAAATAAGCCTTTGAACCATTGCATTGGAATGAAAGTTATTTTACATATAGCTGGCAAACAATAAAGGTCCTGCTGTTTTTTTCTTTCTGTAATTGTTGTG